TCTCTGATCCATGTGGGAACATCTCTGATCCATGTGGGAACATCTCTGATCCATGTGGGAACATCTCTGATCCACGTGGGAACATCTCTGATCCACGTGGGAACATCATATCTATGTGGGAACATCATATCTATGTGGGAATACATCAGATCCATGTGGGAACATCTCTGATCCACCTGGGAACATCTCTGATCCACCTGGGAACATCTCTGATCCACGTGGGAACATATCTGATCCACGTGGGAACATCTCTGATCCATGTGGGAACATATCTGATCCACGTGAGAACATCTCTGATCCACGTGGGAACATCTCTGATCCACGTGGGAACATCTCTGATCCATGTGGGAACATCAGATCTATGTGGGAATACATCAGATCCATGTGGGAACATCTCTGATCCACGTGGGAACATCTCTGATCCACATGGGAACATCTCTGATCCACATGGGAACATCTCTGATCCATGTGGGAACATCTCTGATCCATGTGGGAACATCTCTGATCCATGTGGGAACATCTCTGATCCATGTGGGAATATATCTGATCCATGTGGGAACATCTCTGATCCATGTGGGAACATCATATCTATGTGGGAACATCATATCTATGTGGGAATACATCAGATCCATGTGGGAACATATCTGATCCACCTGGGAACATCTCTGATCCACGTCGGAACATCTCTGATCCACGTCGGAACATCTCTGATCCACGTCGGAACATCTCTGATCCATGTGGGAACATCTCTGATCCATGTGGGAACATCTCTGATCCATGTGGGAACATCTCTGATCCATGTGGGAACATCTCTGATCCACGTGGGAACATCTCTGATCCACGTGGGAACATCATATCTATGTGGGAATACATCAGATCCATGTGGGAACATCTCTGATCCACCTGGGAACATCTCTGATCCACCTGGGAACATCTCTGATCCACGTGGGAACATATCTGATCCACGTGGGAACATCTCTGATCCATGTGGGAACATATCTGATCCACGTGAGAACATCTCTGATCCACGTGGGAACATCTCTGATCCACGTGGGAACATCTCTGATCCATGTGGGAACATCAGATCTATGTGGGAATACATCAGATCCATGTGGGAACATCTCTGATCCACGTGGGAACATCTCTGATCCACATGGGAACATCTCTGATCCATGTGGGAACATCTCTGATCCATGTGGGAACATCTCTGATCCACGTGGGAACATCAGATCTATGTGGGAACACCTCTGATCCATGTGGGAACACTTGAGATCCATGTGGGAACACCTCTGATCCATGTGGGAACACTTGAGATCCATGTGGGAACACCTCTGATCCATGTGGGAACACATGAGATCCATGTGGGAACACCTCTGATCCATGTGGGAACATATCTGATC